CAATAAAGCCCCGGTATTTGTAATTAGCAATGTCTAATGAATATAACGGTACCCCCATCATTTCAAAACTTTGAAATTTTAAAAATTGATTTACAGGGTCTAGGTCACCTTTGAGACAGTATGGCAGCCTAGGAAAGAACACTTAGAAATGATGGCCTACCATCTTCAAAAGGGTATGCCAAATGGGGTATTTTGAGTTGTTTTGTGCAGCCACTTTGTCATGGCTCTAGAATGGTGGGTTTAACGTAAACAGGGACAGGCCAAGGTCAGGGGATCAAGAAGACAGAGTAGTCGGTATAGGACAAGCCCAGGCACACAGAATAATCACCAATAAATCAAATCACATACAGAATAATTTGAATTAATAGTCTACCTGTGTATGGTGGACCCTGAAAAAGTGTGTGATACATAGGCCTGATAGAGATAGACAGGAAGGGCAATAGTAACTAGAGTCTATTATAACTCCTTTTTTTTTGTAACACACTCTGCATTTTTCACTACATGAAAGGGTAAAAGGCTTAAAAAGGGTAAAATTTAATTAAAACAGGAAAAAAGCACACCCCAAAAAGGCTGACCAATACTACTGTACTGATCAGTGTGATCACAGCATTAAAAATGTGATCAGCGCTGAAGTGGTTAATTTAAAAAAATATTTAAAATGGGTACAATAAATAAAAAATAAAAAAATACACCGCAACAATCCTAAAAATCCTAAATCCACTACTATTGTATTGTTCAGAGTGATCACAGTTATAGAGTGATCACTGTGATCAGCAATGAAAGGGTTATTTTTTTTTAAATAAAGTTTTTTTAAAATTATTACATTATTAGAACTGACTACTTTTAGTAGAACTGATCTGTCTACTTCTCTCGCCTCAGATCACACTGAGGAGAGAGACAAGCAGAGGCAGTGCTGACAGCCAATGATTGGAATCATTGGCTGTCACAATGTATCACTGATCGCAGTGACTGCTTGTCACTGCGATCACGTGAACCAGATTGCAGCAGACTGGATCCTGGGGGATCGCCTGAGTTGCCAGGCAAGTCCATAGATCGGATCCCGGAGGGTAAGTATAACGGGGGGAACACAGGGGTTTAGAAGTTATGATGTTCCATGCCGCCCTAACATCTTTAACCTCCCTGACGGTATTCCCGAGTGTGGCTCGGGGTTAATTTTCAGTACCAAAAGCGGTAACCCCGAGCCACACTCGGGATAGCACAAAAGTGTCACTTACCTTGTCCCTGCGAGCCCGCGGTGTCCTCTGCTGTACTCGGCCGGCCGATGCCGGCATTCGGCTTTCAGTTTCGTTTTCAAAGCGTCACAGCGGGGGGCGGAGCCGGCAGGAAATTAAAAAGTGAAAACATGACATTCACACAGAATACAATGTAATCTATGATTACCTTTATGTATCAAACTATTTCACTTCAATTTTGTCCCTAGAGCGTTGTCCAGTGCCCTGCCTGCACTTTTACTGTTCTTTCTGCCTGGAAACTTGAGAACGTTCATGGCATCCAAAAAGCGTCCCTTTGGGTCAAAAGCGGTTTTAGACCATGTAGAAAACAGCGATAGTAAATTAGAATCACTTGCAGAATTGAGTGATATCAATTAGTTGTTGAGTTATTCCTAAGATTTACTAAGAGTTACAGGCCTACAATATAAAACAACAAATTGCCATGAAAAACAATGTACTGCTTTGGCATGCTAAAATCCTCCATAATCATACCGCCACGGAGGTTAAAGTCCATGCTTTCCAGGATTCATAGACCAGCCACATGCTGATACTTCACAAGAGATTGACTGACTGCTGATACTTCACAAGAGAATGATTGACTTCTGATACTTCACAAGAGACTGATTGACTTCTGATACTTCAACAGAGAATGATTGACTTCTGATACTTCACAAGAGAATGATTGACTTCTTATACTACACAAGAGAATGATTGACTTCCGTTACTTCACAAGAGAATGATTGACTTCCGATACTTCAAAAGAGAATGATTGACTTCTGATACTTCACAAGAGAATGATTGACTGCTGATACTTCACAAGAGAATGATTGACTTCTGATACTTCACAAGAGACTGATTGACTTCTGATACTTTACAAGAGATTGACTGATTGCTGATACTTCACAAGAGGCTGATTTGACTTCTGATACTTCCCAAGAGAATGATTGACTTCTGATACTTCCCAAGAGAATGATTGACTGCTGATACTTCACAAGAGAATGATTGACTTCTGATACTTCACAAGAGAATGATTGACTTCTGATACTTCCCAAGAGAATGATTGACTTCCGATACTTCACAAGAGAATGATTGACTTCTGATACTTCACAAGAGACCAATTGACTTCTGATACTTCACAAGAAAATGATTGACTTCCGATACTTCATAAGAGACTGACTTCTGATACTTCACAAGAGACTGATTGACTTCTTTTACTTCACAAGGGAATGATTGACTTCTGATACTTCACACGAGACTGATTGACTTCTGATACTTCCCAAGAGAATGATTGAGTTCTGATACTTCCCAAGAGAATGATTGACTTCTGATACTTCCCAAGAGAATGATTGACTTCTTATACTTCACAAGAGAATGATTGACTGCTGATACTTCACAAGAGACTGAGTGAATGCTACTACCTTATAGGAAATTGGTGACCAGTAATACTGTATAGCAGGATGATAACCGCTAATATTTTATAGGTGATTGGTAACCACTGAAACTTTATAGGAGATTGGTGATCGCTGATACTTTATAGGAGATTGGTAACCTTTGATACTTTTATTGGAGATTGGTGATTGCTAATACTTTATATGAGATTGGTGATCGTTTATACTTTATAGGAGATTGTTTACCACTGATACATTACAGGAGATTGGTGACCACTGATACTTTATAGGAGATTGGTGACCGCTGATACTTGATAGGAGATTGGTAACTGCTGATACTTTATAACAGATTGCTAACCACTGAAAGTTTATAAGATATTGGTGAGTAGTGCCAATAATTTAGAGGAGACTGTTTTATTGGTGATGTGCTAAAGGAGACAGAGAGACTGATGATTTTTTATAGGAGGCCAATTAACTTTTAACACATTTCAAGACTGATTCAGAGCTGATATTTTATAGGAGTGAAGAAGTGCTGTTATGTGTATTGTTACAAGTTTCTGCTGATGCATTACATGGGAATCAGTGAGTGCTGAGACTTTGTACCCAAGTGAGTGCCTACTCTGGAGACTGAGTGACTACAGCTGTATATAGTGCACATTGATGTTAGCTTGAACTAGTGCAAGGAAAGGCGAATAAATCAATAAAGAGCATGGAGGACCTCACCTAATGAGTAAAGATTATCTGAAATAAAAGTATTCTCTTTTGAGAAGAGAAAATTAAAGGGATCGCCTTGTATAAATACAAAAATGTTACATATGGTAAATTCAGAGGACAGTGTATCACTTTAAGGTACCACAATACACACAAGAGCACTCTGTGCGGCTATGACTGAGAATCCCAAATCTCACAAGAAGATTCTCATGTACTGTGCTGCAGGATTTTATGATGTAATATGGGATACTTAATGTTCCCAAGATCTCCCCAGAAGGATTGTGACACCACCTTCTCCAATGTGGAGGCTGGGGGTAATATAAGTGCTTTTACTTTTTTTCAAGAGAATGTGCTTTTTTCACACCTTTATTGGGGTATGTGGGGGGGCATATTTAAATACTACAGTAAGCACTATTAGCTTTGTAGATGCTGGTTTGTTAAATCATCTACTTATCTCTTACATCTTGGTGACTTCTGCCTGCTGAACACCCAGTAAGTTGACAAATAGTAGACTTATTCTGGGTGACACTGGAAGAGCCAATGAAAAGTGAAAAAGTTTAGTGATATCACAAGTTAGATTTTAGGTTTGCATAGAAAAACTATTTGAGGAAATATGTACAGTATATATTCCTTGATTATAGTTTATGTTTTGAGCAGCTAGTCATTTTAAAAGAATAATGAACGTTTGTGACCATGTTACAGCCATATTTACCATGTCATTCATTCACAGATCCATTAACAGAATCAGTAAATTGAAAGACTACAAAATAACATTTGCCACCTCGGCCGGATTTCCATTTCGGCACCTGTAGGCACGAATAAAAATCTGTTCAGCCTGAGCCGGTGCCCTTATCGGCTGCAGGAACCGGCAGCTTTCACATATGCAGAGAAGGACCCCAGTGTCACGTATGGCTGCCCTAAATGCCTGCATCAGACAGGTGTTTTACAGGGCAGACTTATGCACGGCCGGGGTCCTTCCCCTGCGTTTGCAGAAGCTGGCGGTTCCTGTAGGCACTGCTCATCTTGGAGCAAGAGGATGCATTTTGTGCAGAATGCACCCTCTTTGCCATTTCCGGTGTTGTATCTTGGGAATTAGGCAAAGTAGTTACTTGCACGGCATCCGTCTATGGAGGGCACCTATAGGCATGTGTATATTCTGCCCAGTAGTAAATCTGGCCCTGTGTGTGATGGAGATATTGCCATGATGGGCAGGTCAAACACAGTGTATAATGAATCTGGTCATTGACACCCTCAGCAAAAACATATTCCTTCATCAAATTAGTGACTTGCTCTAAGTCAGGGATGCTTTTTTTTAAGTTAGCATGCTTCTGCCATCACGAATCTCTATAGTATATCTGGCAATGGAAAGGTTAATCCTAATGGTATTCGTTCATCGTGGCGGTTTCACATACAGAGACCACAAAATGTATATGTGTTCTAACAAAATGATAAAAAAAAGAGATATAAATCATCCAAACAAGCAAACAAAATGACTCCGATTAAACCCTGCAGTTGCCAGGCTACTGACAGTGGCTGTGTATAAGTGCTGTGACACAATACTCATGCCTTTTCTTGCATCCTTTAGGAAGGCTGCATTATCCCGTGAGCAGGTCCTTCCATCTCTCTAGCGAACTGTTTTTTGTTTGTGCTGGAGAGAAAAAAGCAGGATACGGCAGTCTTCTAGAAGCAGCTGAAATCTGGAATGGACATGGAAATCCTTAAGTGGTTCACAAAATATGACACATACGTGAAGGTAGGCATAGCACTTCCAGATGTTGTAGCGATGTACTGCTCGTCCCCCTGGTGTGTTTCAAGGAAGGCAGAATTTGGACTCTTCTAACAGACTGCTGCTTTTTCATTACAGCCGTTTAGTTTTAAAAAATGGACTTCATTAAATAGGAAAGGAAAAAAGCTCAGCTCACTGCGGAAGAAGCTGGTTACAAAGCATTGTGGTTTTTTTTTGTTCTGCTTTCATCCATCTCCGTGGAAACTGCAATAATCTTTGATATGAGCCGCTATTGCATTGCGAAAATTTCACTGGTACCCTGGATGTGTTCTAGAAGCCTCACTTGTTATTCCTGGGAGGTACGCAGAAGCAATCTAAAAAAAGGTGCAGCTATTGAGCGATAAGAAAAAGGTGACTGCCGGGATCACGTCGCTGAAAGGGCTGGTTTTTAATGTGTTTCAAAACATACTCGCCCAGCCCTCTGCTGCCATTTTGTTCAGAGTGATCTGATAAATGGTGTTTCCTACAACTTACAAGATTCAGGGAGGTTTGACTAGGATACGGTGTGTCTGACGGGAGGCAGCGGGGTTTTCTTAATCCACTTTGCTGGCAGTGGCAGAAGCATCTGCGTCGGGTCTACAGGAAATCCGTCCTGTGTTCTCTTCATGCGCCTGTCGGGTGCCCTAGTTTGTGACTGAGGTGGGAGGAAAGATGAACGCATGGTGAACCCTTTTCTCTTCTGAACATTTAAACCAGGGGAGGGCAAACTTTGGGCCTCCAGCTGTTATGGAACTACAAATCCCATGAGGCATTGCAAGAGTCTCACAGTCACAGGCATGACTCTCAGAGACAGAAGCATAAGCTGGAAGGCCGGAGTTTGCCCATCCCTGGTTTAACCCTCTTGCTGCCACCAACATACGCCATACATCGTTGGCAGGGTGCCCCTTTAAACAGACACCGCCAGATCGCTTCCAGGAGCCAGTAACGTGCGGCCCTCCCCCAACCAACACCCCCATCATCTCGGCATCTCAGGTGTTGGCGGGAAGCAGAACATGCAATTGCCAACAGACAGGTTTTAAACGGTGAAAGCATACTGGGGTGCTTCGTTTAGGGAACACAGCTTATCTTTAATTGCTTCTCAATTTTATAAAAGAAGACTGAAAAGCTTGATTGCTCTGTCAGATTTCAATGCATATTTAAAGTGATCATGTGGGGGATAAAACAGATAGCAGGCCCCTGTGCTGATAATATAAGCTTTGGCACATCAGAAGACATTCCTCGTTCCCGTACCACCCAGAGCTCTTTGAAGCTGGAATCACGGGACACCTTAATGCAACACACATAATGCACAGTAACGCACCACATTAAACCGAACAGGTTTCTTTCTCTTTGCTTCAAATGCTGGCATTATTGGCCCCAGCCGGTGTAAACATTTCTTTGTTTACAATCAGCCTGCTTGCAGTCTGCACTGATCAGCAATAAAATGGATTTGGAAGAGATATATGACCTGCAATGAAAACAGGGGTACAAGGTATGGGTCATGCTGACCTTATAAACTACTGTATAATATAGCCGGACAGAGGCCATGCTAAAAGGTTCTTTCATATGTTGAAAGTCAGTATTTTCATAGGCTTAGGCACACCCTCCCCATGACATTGCTTGACCATTTGGCCTTTAAGAGCTGGAGTAGTAAGGTACAAATATGTGCCTTCCATTCAAGCCTGCACAGTAGCTTTCCATAAACAAGAAAAGGGCCATTCCTATACAGTAATGGTATGGCTTCATTCAAGAATACAGGGAGTTACTTTGCACTGCAGCGCCAGACTAGATTTCGGAAAGAAGGTTGTGAAGAACGGAAGAGACACCTAAGCACCTGGGGAGGGATGTTTAAAACTGAACTTCAGGCAAACTGCTAAATACACACATAAAACACGTATATGAGAATTGATTTACCTGCCAAAGGATTTGTATTCCGTTCATCCAGTCCTGAGATTTACACTGCTTTTGCCATACAGCACAGTTTTGTCTGGCCGGCTAGGAGACCTGATTCTTCTCTGCTGCAGTTAAAGTAGTATTATAGGCCCCCCCCCACACAAACTTACTTGCAGCTGCTTGTATCCTCCGCCACAACTGGGTATAAACTCAAACTTCCTGGCTGTGGGGGAGGGTACTGAGGGCAGAGGATTGGTAGGCTCCTTCTGCCATCAGTCAAACTGTGACTGCAAGGGTGGGGGCGTGGCTGCCCTCACACTGTGTGTGTGTATATAGATAGCTAGGTGCTGGCACGGCCATGAGCATGCACGCACGGGTGCCCCCACATCAGCCGGGAAAAATATAAGAATAAAGAAAAGTATTTTTAAAGTAAGTCTGGTTCCCATTAAAAACCCAGAAGGTTTAATATCACTTTAACCTCTTCCCAGCCGGCCGTTATAATTAACTGCTGGCCGAGAGCTTCTTGGATCTGATCGGCCGTCTAAAGACGACCTGTTAGCCCCGCCCACTTGTACGTGCGAGCTGGAAACTGTCAAAATTAAAAACAAGCAGCGATGCCTGTTTACATACAAGCGGTCCGCCGGCTATATAACTATTTACAAGCATTAAAAGCACTTTAAAAACACCCTCATTTATCTCTGTAGATTTATCATTGTGGAGAAATTCATCTTCAAAATCCACAACAGGGGCACTGAAATCACAACTCCTTTTCCCTTACTTTCTATTGGGAGCAGAATCTTGGCAACCTGCCAGGCCTGTAATGTAAACACACAGCAGGTGTTTCTAAAGGTGCCCATACACCTGCCGATTATCGTACGATAATCGCGGGAAATCCCGCAATCGTACGATAATCGGCAGGTGTATGGAAGGCGTGCGACCGTTTCTACTGTACGGTCGCACGTCTTTTGTCTTACGAGCAGGCTCGAAAACCTGCCGAGAATCGTACGATTGTCGGCGGGTTTGTGGCCTGCTCGTAAGACAAATGCCGCACATCGGGGGGCGGGCTTGCGATGATCGCAAGTACGATCTGCCTGCCCAAGATGGGCAGATCATACATTTTTTTATTACCTTACAACCATTCCTAAAGGTGCCCATACACCTTACAACCATCGCAAGACTTTTGTCTTGCGATGGTTGTAAGGTGTATGGGCACCTTTAGGAAGCCAACTGAAATCTGAATTTATAGTCTTTCTTGTGATTGTTGAGAATCTTTGAGAGTGAATTACTTCCCAGTGCAAGCAGCTGGAGGTAACAGTGATGACTTTGACTCTTTTACTGCTTGTTAATAATATGTAAAAATGTAGCAGCAGCTGTGAGCTTGGTCTCCTTTTCTTCAGCCTATTCCCAGCTATCCAGGTCACTTTTACAGGCCTATAGACAGTTCATGCTACCTCCCTAAATGTCAGAAATGCTCTGGAATCTGTTTGTAGTAATTGCATAGGGCTCAAATCAAGGTCATCAAAGTGGACTTTTTTTCTTTAGTACAGTTGCATTCTTTGTTGAATATCATTGCTAGATCACAGATCGATATGTGTTGTCAAGGACTGCTCTTTAAAACATCAACACTTTTTATTCTTAAGCAGTAGTCTTACAGTTACCTGCGACCTGTGACAGTTACAATGTAACTGTCACAGGTCGGCTCAGTAGATCGGGAAGTGAGCGACCGTCGCTCGCTCACTTCTCGATCTATCCCTGCAGAGAGCCGTGAGTGACAGTCACGAGTTTCTGCAGGGATTCCCCACCTCTCCCCTGTCCGATCCTCCAGCGCTGACTGGCGGAACGGACGGGGAGGGGGCAGGCACAGCTGGCTCTGCCTCTGGATAGGCAGAGCCAGCTATCAATCCCGCAGCTGGGTGGATCTCGACAGCAATGTCGGATCCGTTCCGGGTGCGGCGTCTCAGTATACTGAGCTTGGGGTCATGGAAGAACGCAAATTTGTGTCCTCCCGTGACCCTTAGGAGAACTATGGGGAAAAGCCCTGACCCCATAGTTCTCCTTTAACATACAAATTGTTGACTTTACACAAAATGAATTTTTCAGTAACCGGTTGAATTACCTTTTAATTACGTTCTAACCTGATAATGTAATGTTGTTTCTAAAGGCTGTGCCATCCCTACTAATGCTCAACTTCAATAGTGCATATTGGCGTATGTTTTTTTTGTATTGTTTTGGTAAATAAATGTGATTTGTATTGTCACAGGCGAAGATGTCTCAAGTGAAGCAAGTAGGTCTTCTAGCTGCTGGGTGCCAGCCATGGAACAAAGATGTCTGTGCTGCTAGTGGGGACAGATTTGCTTACTGTGCTACTTTAGCTATTTATGTATATCAGGTATGTTCTCTTTTTGTTATCTTCATCAATGAATGGGTGGACCACAATCATTCAACTTTTTTTATGCAACAAAGTGGAGGAACTTGAGCCAGCCAAGACAATCATATACACTATATTGCCAAAAGTATTGGGGCACCCCTCCAAATCATTGGATTCAGGTGTTCCGTGAAATTTCCTTGCTACTAAATATTTACATAAGTAAAGTTAGCCATACATTATGCAAATTTTGCGAACTGGGTGACGCTGTCTGCACCCTTTTAGCTGGCATCCCTCGATCAGCTGATTGAAGGAGCCGGCTGTAAAATCTGCTAACGAACAGAGCCGGCAGCCAATGAGCTTCTGACAGTGGCCTGCCGGTGCAGTCAGAATACTTGAACAGAGCTGGAAGTGGCCGGTGGCTGCTGTCAGAATACAGGAGAAAGAGCAGGGATTACTCGATCAATGCTCGTATAGCGTTGATGGAGAAATCTGTTCTATTATTTTCGTTAAGCCCACGGGTTGAACAAAAAAAGTAAAACAGTGTTGGAAAATATTCTAACGAACAGGTATTCTGACAGTGGCCGGCAGCTGCTCTCAGACTACAGAAGAAACAGCGGGGATTCCTCCATCAATGCTCGTATAGCGTTGATGGAGGCATCTGTTCTATTTTTTTCATTCAGCCCATGGGTTGAACAAAAAACAGTGTGTGGCCAGCTTTAAGGTGTCCATACACCTTACGATTATCGGCCGATTTTCGTATGCAATCGCATTTTCGTCCGATATTCGTAAGGTTGATGGGCAGTGTACAACCGCAAATACTGTACAATCGATCGACCTTTGACTATCCAGCAGTTTAGAAAACTTTGGCCGATCATATGATTTTTGCAAGGTTGGTGGCGTTTCCGTACGTCAAAATTCGTACGATTTACACTGCTCATGCGCAAACAAAAATACGTGCGGCCGATTACCGCAATTCGCCCAGGTGCTTTTTTAAAAATTACTGCTGATTGAACCTTGCGATAATCGGGGCAGGATGGGGCCTCCGTACGGCAATTCGATCATCGGACGAAAAGTGTTGTCCGATGATGGCAAAGTGTATGGGCAGCTTAACACAGAAAACGTTCTGATGCATTGAAGGGGGCTTGGAATCGCAAATCTGGTAGAAGAGCTCCTCCAGAAGTTTATTCAAGCCAGTGATTGAGCAAACACATTGCTATACACCCAAAACTGTAATTAGCTTTGACTAACCATAACCTTTAATTAGAAAAGATTTTGGGTTCTGTGTTTTATTATTGGTGTACTGAAATGCAGGCTAAGAATCAGGGTACCTCAAAGCAGAAGTATTGTTCTGACACATCATTAAGGTACCGGTATATCTGGTTTTGTAGATATTGCACTTGTATTTCATCTTACATCATTTTTTACCTCTCTCCAGCTGGATCACAGATACAATGAATTTAAACTCCGTGCAATCATGTCAGAGCACAAAAAGACAATCACAGCCATCTCCTGGTGTCCACACAACCCTGACATGTTTGCCAGTGCCAGCGCAGACAATCTAGTGATCATCTGGAATGTGGCTGAACAGAAAGTGGTGGCCAGGCTTGACAGCACCAAAGGTAAGTGGAACAAAGAGAGCTGCCTGTGGTATCAGATACTCAATAGTTAAGCGTCTAAATATATATTTTTTTCGTTTTGGGTCTAAATATATATTTTTCGTTTTGGATAGAGTATAGAAAATGATGAAAATCCCTGTCAGCCTGTGCCCCATTCAATTCCTGTCCCAGGGACCCCACAGAAAGTGAAGGGAAATCCTTTTAGGCAGTTGTCAGTGGAACAGGTGTACCCATTGGAAGATTTCTCTTTATTCCCATTTCGGTGACAGCTGCAAACTGTAGACTTCCCATCACTTACTGTCTTGGTGACAGAGATGAATAGGGTTATTCTCTCCAGTATGACAAAGAGAATAATAAAAGCCTGACATGGCTTTTAATTATTGTTTAATATATGCATGTTTCAATGCTTTAAATATTGTTTAATCATGTTTCAACATTTTAAATATAATTTAATATATGGATGTTGCAAAATGTTTTACAGTTGTGGTAAGTCTACTTATCTTAGTGCTGACTGCTGCATGGAAAATTGGAACTTCAGCCAAACCTTTTTTTTTATTAGGTTTAGTTGGAGTGGGGAAGGGTTACAATGCTGTAGACAAATGTACTGGCAATAATTATAACTGACAATATTTATATAATAATTAGAACAGTGGGCATACATTATTAGTTATTATTTTCTGTAGCATATATTAAATCATGTACAGCTATATCACATTTATTTGTTGTACCCTACCATGTCATTTCCTTCCAACCAATACTTAAAACAAATAAAAAAATTTATAATTTTATTATTAGGTTTTTTTTTTCTATGCTTTGGGCTGCTTTTTTTATTTCAGTCACTCTCCTTTCTCATCTTGTCCTTGTCTAGGAATGCCAGCCTCGCTGAGTTGGTGTTGGAATTCTGGCGATGCTGTAGCCTTTGTATCACACAGAGGGCCCCTTTATATCTGGACTATCTCTGGACCAGACAGTGGTGTGGCTGTTCACAAAGAAGCCCACAGCTTTCTTTCGGACATCTGTCTATTTCGGTGGCATCCAAGAAAAAAAGGAAAAGTTGTCTTTGGACACACAGATGGCAGCCTTTCCATTTTTCAACCAGGTAAAATAAAATTGTGATTACAGGAGGTATGTTTAAATCTCAAGTTCTATATTTGTTAACAAATTTGCCAAAATCTGTATCGAAAAAATATAGCTCTTGCCACAATAATTACATTGACTGTAGTGATGCCCCGTGCAGAACCTCCAATCTGCTTACATTTCTAGTTGCTTACATTTCAAAATACAGTATATGTGGAAACCACATTACCACATCAAGTCATCTCTGATAATTATGGTTCCTAACATTAAGCTGTCCAAGTTGCTCAGCTATGGGACATATATAGCAATGTACAAACAGCAGACTCACCTGGATGTAGCCTCACCCTCCTGAAGGTGCAGCCACACACCAGCAGCCATCGTCTTTACAAGGCCGCTGAAGACTTCCAGTGTGTGCCTTTACCAAATCCAAACAAGCAAATATGGCAGCTGCTCTGATCTGTTTGAAACTAGCAAACAAGGAAAGATGCTAGTGTATCATTTGATAGGAGCACTAGCTTTCTAAGCAGCCATGTCCAAAAGTCTGTCAGATCACGTTACTTGCGTATAGTAATTATCGTTTTCCCTTTAAGACTCCTTGATATTTGTATGAATATGTATGATCCATGAGCTAAGCCACTTTATAATAGTCACCTTATGGTAATTTACTTTACTAGGTCTCACATTTTATTTTTTTAGCTGAGAAAAAGGTTCTTTACTGCAAGAGCAGTGACAGTCTTCACAGGAACAGGTTCCAATAACTTTAGTAGATTGCTTTCCTAGGGTTGAAACTTCCCTAAGAAAGAAATGGGATTAATTAAAATGATTAAAAACATGGTATATTATTTATATGTGGATGTTATCTGATTGCCATCAGGGATCAGTAAGGAATACAGTAGGTATTTCATGCTGTGAGGCCATGACTGCTTCATATAAGATCATACCTTATTTTAAAGAAGGATACGGTGGCAAGTGTGACAATCTGCCCTGCCACAACATACAAGAAGCAATGAACACAATTCCTGCTGACAGTACATAGGAAAGCCATTACTAGTGACCACTAAACATATACTGCATTAATGAAACATTGTTGGGTTTAACTTTACCCAAGTTAGGCTGAATTCAAGGACAATAGAGTTAGCCAGTGAAATCTGCTTGATCCAACAAGTGAGTTGATTTGATTACCACAACCTACTCTAGAGAACTGGTTAGGGGATCCTTTGGACACCTTGCTAATTCACTTCTGGATTGGAACAGCATATGCCCATTGCCTCATGCTTCTTGACTAGAGGATAAGACAAGCAGAGGTTCCCTGTTTATATGACATGGCACACGTCGTAATGGTTGTTCAGCTGTGAACTTGTAACAAGTTCTGGGCGATGAGTACAGAAATTAAGGGCCTCCAGAAATGGAAGCACACATAAAGTACATCTTGTCCTGTGCCACAAGAAACGCATCTTTTTATTTCTTTAGGTTGTAAGAGTCAGAAGCATGTACTGAGACCGGAATCACTGGAGGGAACAGATGAGGAGGATCCAGTAACAGCACTAGAATGGGACCCACTTTCCACTGATTACCTTCTTGTTGCTAATTTACACAATGGGATCCGACTAGTAGACTCTGAGTCCTTATCTTGTATTACTACATTCAGTTTTCCAAGTGCAGCAGCATCTGTTCAGTGCTTAGCCTGGGTCCCAACAGCCCCAGGCATGTTCATAACAGGAGGTAAGCCTATATGTACTGCCATATTTCATTGATTAAAAAAAATAATACTGATTTCTGTATGACATTTTACTTTTTGTATCAGTATAGACTATTACCTTTTTTTGCCATACTGTATCTTGCACAAAGATTAAGTGCTGAGAGCATCATTTGCAGGTTCTGATGCCTCTCAGGGTTGAACCTTTTGTTTTTGTAACATTGTAATATGGCACACTCTAGAGTGGAGCAGATTGTGGAATAATGTCAATTTAGTAAAACATGACAATTAAAAAACATCAAGAAGAACCCTGAATAAAGCCAGCAATAGCCAGTGAAATAGTCAAATGAGTAAGATCTATGTTATTAAAAAAATGGAGCAAATGTTTGAAAATAGACACCACCGCAAAAAATGTCATATGTCATTTTCAGCTACATCCTGAGAACTTATCACACTCGCTTTTATTTCAATATAATTTATGACTATGCAGGCTTTCATTTACAATTTACTTAAACATAATGCACGTGACAATTTCATTATCAGGCATTGTTTGATCATTTTCAACAATGGTTAAATTAAATTAATGAAAGGTTTTGTTTCATTAATCATTTATGTTTAGCATGTGTTTTGCTTTGTCATTATATTTTCCATTTTTGGGATACACATATCTTTGCTAGTTTTGGGTAGATTCCAATGAAGGATTCTCACTAGATGACATGCTTAAAAGAGAACTATGGTCCAACCTTTCCCAAAGTTCTCTTTAGGGTCACAGGAGGACATGTACTAATGCCCTCCTGTAACCCAAAACTCAGCCCGCTATATGCTGACAGCGCAGAGCCGTGCTGCAGCCTGGACGTTTTCCGACAATATTGTCAGGATCCACCCCGCTGCCGGATTGTGCCCACCCCTATCCGTTCCTCCAGTCAGTGATGGAGTAATAGAGAGAGGGGGGGGGAATCCCTGCCGGGAGCAGTGACTGACAGGCACCACTCTCTGCAGGGAGAAGATCGGGAACTCAGCGATCAGCAGTATGTCATTGCTCAGTCCCTGATCAATAGAGCTGACGTGTGACAACTTAAGTGTCACAAGTTGGCTCTAATTATGGGTATGAGTGTATTTCACTCTCCCCATACTTCTCCTTTAAAAGCAATTCCTAGTGTCCAGTAACTTCTCGCCCCTCCTCTATCCTCTGTGTTTAGAGGTCAATAAACTTGTATAATTCAAGTACAAAAATATATTAGCAAAAAAAAATTGGGAAAGACTTGTATTTAATTTACAAAATGTTCTTAGAAGTGCAATGGGGATTTTCTGCATTAAATATAACAGTCAAGGAAGGACATTCATTTTAAGAATGGCAGCCCTGCCAAACCACGGGCTGCTATATGATCCCCTAAATCTTTCATGTGATGAGGACTTTGAACAAATGGAGTAGAAAGATATTTAATGGACTACAATCTCACATTTAGTTTACTAACTGGTATTGAAATTATAGCCTATCACAGGAGCAAACTTGGAGTGGTGTCTACTTTACAACAAACACAGGGAGCATGGGGAACAAAAGTAGACACCCTCCAGAAGGAAGGACCAATTCAGAGATGATTTGAGGATCTGCAGCCGAGTGATGCACACATAAAGTACAATTCTGGTAATAGTTAGGGTACTTGAATGCATTTTTAAGATTTAACGTCTGAGTTTAGTGTCACTTTAAATTATTTCTGTTAACTGTTGTGGGTCCTCATTCTGTCAAGCAAACCTCGAGAGTATGTGTATTTGCCAAGCTATTCCTTGGTCTCTGTCTTCACGCCCAGTTGCTTGATGTTGAAGAGGCATGAATCTGTCTGCCACCTGCTGTCTCTGGCCAGTCATCCAACGGCTAGAATTCCCTATTCCATTCTGGGAGCTCCACTAATGAGATCTGCTATTTGCAGGAGAACACTTTGATATTGTCTAGTGTTTGAAGGCTTGCTGTGTGGCTGATTCTTGTGATAAAGAGACAAAATGGGAAACACTACCTGCCTCAAAGAACATCCAGGAAAGGCCAAAAGTATCTCCTATTTTATGGAGCAATAATTGAAAGACCCTGAAAGATCATGATATTGGAGCTATCAAGACTTAATACCTACATGAGTAGTTTTCCTTGGCATATTAAAGCAAGTTAAAGGCAGTAGCAAAAAAGTATTTTTGACTAGTTTTTCTTCCAAATTTCTAAGATGAGAAAGAGCAACAACTTCAGGCTCAATGAATTTAGGCAATGGACACAGCCTTGCCACGTCCCCAGTTATGCGGACCATTAAAGGAGAACTATGGGGCAAAAAAAACTATTTAGATTGATTATACCGGGGAGTCCATTTAATTTAACTATTTAAATAAGAATTCGATCAGTGACTCTATACTCTTTTAATGAAACGAAAATATGGTCATGCAAGAAAATTTGACTAATGCAGAAGTCACATGGAAGACCAAGACCCAGATTTAAGAATGTGTTTTCAGTTCTGGATCCAGGAAAGAGGAATTAATTAATGGTTCAAATGTGAACATACCATGGATCTAGATAGAATCAATTTATATTCAGAGCCAATTAGGAGGAGCCAGGAAGTGCTGTATGAATGTGTGTTGGTATGAAGACAACATTGTCACATTTTTAATATGAGGGATCATTTGGAGAGGTGGAGGGTTTATTTATTGTAACAATTTTTGTACTTGACAATTAGAACTATGGGGCAAACTTTTTTGCCCATAGTTTACTTCAGGGTCATGGGAGGACATATATTATGTCCTCCGGTGACCTGAAATTTAGCATATTGCCCGCTATATGCTGAGACTGCAGAGCCACGCCGCAGCCGGGACTGATCTCAACAATACTGTCGAGATCTGCCCCGCTGGCTGATTGACAGCTGGCTCTGCCTTTCTAGAGCCAGAGCCACCTGTACCACCCTCCTCCCCGTCCGTTTCTCTACTCAACACTGTAGAAATGGAGATGGGGGAATCCATGCAAGGAGCAGTGACTGACAGACACTGCTCTCTGCAGGGAGAGGATTTGGAAGTCAGTGATCTGCGGTATGTGTTCGCTGACTTCCTGATCAATAGAGCCGACCTGTGACAGCTTCATTGACACAGGTTGATTTGAATTATGGGGATGAGTGTTTTTCACTCACCTCATAATTCTCCTTTAAGAATTGATGTACCTAAAATGATTGGTTAAAGCCAGAATTGTTTTTTCCCCCACTATTATGTTTTCTTTATACAGTTGTTTTATTTTATTTATATAGTGCAGACAATTTACACAGCACGCATTCACATCAGTCTTACAATCTAAGGTCCCTATCTCACATGCAAAGGCTAATTTAGACAGGAGCCAATTAACCTACCAGCAGGTCTTTTGAGTGTGGGGGGGACTGGAGTATCCAGAGGAAACCCACGCCAGCACAGGGAGAACATGCAAACTCCTTTTGCAGATAGTGACTTGGCCTGGATTGGAACCAGGGACCCCCCAGTGCTGCAAGGCAGAAGTGCTAATCACTATGCCACTGTTAAATTAGATAATTAAGATGGGGTGAAGGTTTTAGGGCTTGTTCAGACCATGTCTGGAGCAGATCTACAAACTGCGTGCAGTGCGTTTTTGATGCATTTTTTACGTATTTCAATATGTTCCAATGCCTTTTCTTTTAGCTTAAAATTGGCTTTCAGGTGCAGCCCTGTGCGTTTGCATGTGTTTTGATGCGTTTAAATACATTTTGGAATGGACTGCACCGGTGTGAACAGAGCCCAGAAATACCATAGGAATACATTGGGATGCATTTAAGGTGCGGACAAAAAACTTTTTGGTCCCAATCTGTTCTGGACATGGTGTGAACAAGCCCCAAGTGCATAATTTTTGTTAGTTAAAGCCTAAGTTCACCTTTTGCAAAAATTAAAGATATGCATGATAATATAAGAAAAAAAGGGCCAGCTCCTCAACTACAAGTGATCTGGGTGGCTATACTGCCATTTTTTTCCCCATACAGAACTTCTGTCCCCCAAACTGCATCTGTGAACACTGAACCATGAAACGCTGCTCCCAGCACTTCATGCTTCAGATGAGAAAAGCCAGCTGGAGTCCTAGGTAAACTAAAGGTGAAGCACATTCCTGTGCTTCATCGTTTGTGTGGGAGGTACAGGGGAGACATCAGGGGCCTATTAGAAATCCATTGTATGTGGGCACTGGATTTCCGGCATGTTCAACAAGTATTCTTCTGTACTTTGTGTGTACTGTGATTTTCTAAAGAGACAGAACATGGGTAAATGTGCATATGGTTTTTTTTTGTTTTTGCTTTTACAAACAATTATATTATTAAATAGGTCGGTATTCGTTAGAAAAGGTTAGAACAAGTAACATCAATGTTATGCTGTAATGGGCTACGTTTCACAATTTTCCAATACGTTCAGATTCCCAGGTTGGTGTATTACGAGTATGGAATGTTTCCAAGACAACACCTATAGATAATTTCAAATTGAAGAAGACTGGTTTCCATGCATTACATGTCCTCAACTCTCCTCCCAAGAAAAAAAGTGAGTACCTCTTAAAAGGAGGAAAAGCAGAAAATAAATATTCATGAAAATTATTGCAAGTTACTGTGGAGAAAAGAAGATAATGTCCACAGCAGCTTACTTCTATTTCCACACATTTGCTGTCTATAGAATGTGTGATTACAGACAATATCCATTTTCTGTGCACATAATAAAGCCTTTATGGGATTGGAACCTCATAGGGTTTGCCCTAAGTAATTAACAGTAAATAGGATGAGGTTCATAAAAGAAACCTGTCCTGCCATTGCTAACCTCCTTCTTAAGATACTAATCTGCTGGCTGACGTGTTGGCTTTAATACAGAGTTAGTGACTAAGAACATTTGCAGGGAAGTCAGTTTTCCTTATGTCTATACCTCCACTTGATCAGTAGTCAGAATCTGTTGAAACCAGAAAGTTGTAACAGCCAAGTTACTAACACTTTCAGAAGGTATTAGCCAATGGCAACCTCAGTATTTCTCTTGACATGTTTCCTGATTCCTGGCCTCTGGGTATCCCTTAAGGAAGAGAGCTGTGAAGTCATGAACTAACCTGTACATCTCTCATAAATATCCCTAATTTTTAAAGAGAATTGCAGTAACATACTGCAGCTCTCAAATTTCCTTGTTGTGTTGGAAAGTCCAAATGGCCATAGGAGCAATTAAGTGGGGTTAGCATGCAGGCATAGTTCTGCCCAGATAGCAGTAAATGGCCATGTTGGAAATGGTGTAATATACAAAAAAGACCTAGAAAATACAGCAGCCTTTACAAAAACAATACACTGAGATGTATTAAAGAGACCCTGTCAGGTTTAATGATGCAGCCTTCAACAGTCTTTTAGGCATTTAGCAACACGTGTGTTGGATGCCTATGCCTCCCAGTACATACTGTACATCCCGACAGAACCGCTCTAATCTGACAGAGCACCCGCCCCAAGGTCTCACCATACATTTTATTAAATAGCAACACTTTAGCTTTTTAAGCTTAGCATCCACAGATGCTTAGAATTGACTGGTCACAAGCAAGGAAGGATCAATTTATTTTAGCTCAGCCTACAGATATTAGTGTGTGTTAGTGTGATCAACAATGATGTGCCACATTCTGAGTTCCAGTACTGGAGGAACGAAAAAGTACACTGACCGTACACAGCTGTGTGTAATGGGGCTTCAGAGACAGCTGGCAACTAAGTATGCTGGGAGTTATATTGTCACTTATATGAAGAGGTAGGAGGTGTCCTCTACTAACCTGTCCAGGCACTGGTTCCAGCACTCCAGCTCTGTGCAGACACTCTCCTTACAGCTTCCCCGCAGTGCCATGAGATCTATTCGCTTAGCACATGCACGCTGCTACATCACCTTCCGCACCACAGCATGTTGCGGAGCAACTGAGCATTTACTAAAGCTGCCTGGTGGAGTCAGAAGTGTTCAGTGCGAATCCTACAGCTTCCTGCTGGAAATGTTTGTGAGAGCTATTCCCCCACCATGGGATCTTGTACAGCCTACCTGACCGGCTGACCCAGTGTGGCCTAAGCCTGGTAAAGGAGGGCTGTCTGTACTCCTGTCCTGTAGTGATGTAAGGGTCTGAGGAAGGAATCATACCATTTCTCTTGCAGGAACTTGATTTTTTGATTTCTTTAGAAATCTGACAGGGTCTCTTTAATACCATCCTATGGTTCTCAGCTCTGCACAGAACTACACACATATTTCTAAAGTTCCCAATCATACAGTATAGTATATGTATTATTTACAAGCATATAGACACAAATTTCTATTTTACAGAGTGATAAGTGCCATATTTGTTTTGTCCCTCTAATGAGCATTTTTAGCACAATCCCCTACAAAGAACCATCACACGTCATCCACTAGTGAGGCAGTCCCTCCTCCCACTCTGACACCGAACCATGCCTTCTCACTACCTCCCGGTCATGCCGTCTGTTGCTTCATGGATGGAGGAGTCGGCCTTTATGATATGGGTGCTAAGAAGTGGGATTTCTTGCGGGACTTGGTATGATGTTTCTTTATTACCATTGTCATAATGAATGATCTTAGCATGCCATTAGGGTGTGTGTTTTTAATAAAAAGCTATCATGACACATATCAATATCTCCTAGAACCTCACCAGCGTTGGTTTTGATATGTCATTTTGTATGTTCCTGCCCACCTGGGAGTTATTGGTGTTTTCACATCTGTAGGTTTCAGCTCCTTTTGAAGTACTCTCCATAATATAAAACAAAAAAACAACATTGGGAAGTTGAACCCATCATAATGGGTCTTGAAGATGTGCTTATGTACCAAATCCCAACAGGGGTATAAGAAATTGCCACAAGAATAAAATGCTTCTTGACTTTAATCTGTAGATTAAAGTTTCTCAGCACGAGGTTCAAGCTGTGGTAACATGCATTTATACTCCCTATTTGACAGCTGGCAGTGTGCACAGGTGCCCACTGGTAGTTGTCAGACCACAATGTGTCAGCTCTAGTCGCTACTAATAATATGGAATGAATCAGCATGGCTCCCAATCATGTAATTTCAGTATGACAGCTATGACATAGTGATCACAGCATGCCTGTTTAATACTGGGATGGTCACATTCAGTTGCAAGAAAAAAAAGATATATTGTTTGGTAGGTAAACAGTAGGCATATATGTATTTTAACTGTCTATTTTGCTACTTACCAGGAGTTTCTCTTTAACGATCACTGAAATATTAATTTTGGGAGATTGACTTATTTTTCAAATAAAAACGATGTTGTTTTCCTGTTGTCTTGAAGCGACATGAGGATACTTAGGTTTGCTTTAGTATGACATTTAATTCTAATTGTGTAGGGCCACATTGAAACCATCTTTGATTGCAAATTTAAACCCGACGATCCAAATTTATTGGCTACTGCATCATTTGATGGTACAATAAAAGTCTGGGACATCAACACGTTAACAGCTGTGTATACATCGCCAGGAAATGAAGGTGTTATCTACTCATTGTCCTGGGCACCAGGTAAATTGTTTGATATACTGAGATTCTAAAATGTTAATCCAATTAATGCACAGTCTGCTTAAATCATCATTTACTTCCTGCCTAGGAGATTTAAATTGCATAGCAGGAGCAACATCGCGGAATGGGGGTTTCATCTGGGACGTTAAGAAAGGGAAAATGATAACACGATTCAATGAGGTAGGCTCTTCTAAATTAAAATGTCCTAAATTCCCAGGCAAATCATACATTTTTTGATATGTCATCTAATAGCCATTCACCGTGTCAGTACGTTGGAATCAGTAAACATAGAGAAAACTAAAATAAATAGCAGCAGTAAACAAGAATGAAAATAATGCTACATATACATATATAAATCATGTAAATAGCTCTACACCGTAGTACCAGTAATGCAGAAACATCAGCTTCTATAACTGCTACAGTAGAAATGAAAAACGCTATGACTCAGCCATTTCAGTTTAAATTGGCCAAATATATTTGAGAGGCATCAAAACAAAAGGTGTACATTTTTTTTGTTTTTTTAGAAAGCAGCCGCAGCCTGAGTAGAAATGTCTGCATCCTGCCAGCATGCTGCAGAGAAGGGCCCTTGCTCTCTGTGTGGAAGCAGTGGTCTCTCTGCAGAGGGCATTGGTAAATCGATCCTATAAAACAAGAGCACAGAAGTGCACTGGCATACTGTAATAGTTAGAAAAACTTTAATGTGAAATGGTGAAAAAAATGAACGCACTCACAAACGTATTTGTTATGTATTAGCCAAAATGCAAATAGGGGAATGGAAGTAGGGAAACTGCCCAGCATGCAGCTGTTGGATCCTTCCGTCTCCTCTCGCTTCTCCCAGTTGCTTCTGTTTCCTCTAGTAACTCTGTGCTAGGTACGCATTTCATGGAGAGCACCTCAGGCTGATAAAGGGGAGGTGTTCTTCCCCAAGAGTGCTTTTCCTGTGTGCTTCCACAGAGCTGCAAGACTAGACTGATTTAGTTATATTGTATCTAATGTTCCTAATTGTTGCTATTTTATTTGTTGTTAGTTTATCTTAGCTTGGTTATATTGCTTGGAACAGGCAAATCATAAATTTTAAGATTGTAAGTGGTGCAACCGCACCTGTGCACTTGTCAGGGAATCGGGTTCCGTCCCCTGGGTCAGCCGCGC